ATCCCCAACAGCAACAACAACAGCCTTCAACTTCTTCACATGGTTTCGGCCGCACTTATGGTTCAACTAATGTCTGGAGCAGAAATGATAGGAATTCTAGGGATAATGAGTGGTTTGAAAACTTAAATTTTAATAAAAATAATATAAATACTAATATTTCAAATTACAGGAAGCGACCAGCTGAACAGAATTGGAAAGAATATGCTAATACAACATTTGAGAGGAGCAGGACCATTACTTGTTTCAATTGTGGACGAAATGGGCACATGGCGCGACAGTGTAATTGGAATACTTGGAGGAAAAATGAGAGTTGGCGTGGTGGCAGAGGAAAATATTAATTTTTTAAAATTAATTTAATATTTTTTTTTGTATTTTAAACATACATTTTCATCTCCTTTTAATTTATTTTATCTGAATTTTTATTTATTATATAATGTTACTTTTAAACTTTCCCCATTATTTGTTTGGTTCAAGTACCCTTAAATTTTTTTAACATGCCTTACATTTAATTTCACATTCCTTCATTTCATATAAGATTATTAATTCAAATTTAATCACAATCACTTATTTTTATATTTTGGAATGCCAATCAATAATTAATTTTCTAAATTCTCATACCCTTTTCCATTATATATACTTAATTTCTTTATGCCAATTTGTATCCACTTATAATTACATTTTGTCATTTTTTTACAAAATTTTTACCCTCACTTATTTACATTTTACAATTATACTTTTAAGCTTAACTCTCACTAATTACATTAAATTTAATACATTTATTAGTTTCATATTTTAAATGTTTAAATTCTCAAATTTCACTTAATTTGTTACAAATTTATACAATCGTATTTATAAGACTTACAATTGATTTATTCCCCCACAAATTATTTACATTTACTTTATTAATTTTTAAAGTCTTTCACAATTACATTTAAAAATGTCCCAAAATTCTTTTTTTGTTAAATTATTATTTACATCTTAATGTCATACATTTCTCAATTTCAGGAATTGTTATTTTTACAAAACTTTTTCAACATATTTTTAAAATATATCCAATTTTATCCACAAATCAAATGTTATTTAAGTCAGAACTCTGACATTAATTTTAAATGTTTATTCAAAAGCCTTAAAATTTTTTTTTTCATTAACCTTTCAATCAAACCATTTATACCCAGGTTTATTTTGTACATTAATTTTAGAAAATTTCTTGTCTAATTCTCTAAAAAACTTTTCTATTACAAGTTTTATTCCACTCATTTATAATCAATTTTGTATTTTCAAACACTTCGGTAGTTTTCTGGTTTTTTTTAAATTTTATTTCACACTATTGATTCACGAATTTTACTTTTATTCAACACGTTACCCACTTAATTTTTATATATACTTTCACAAAAATATTTCAATGTCCCAATTTATCCTTATTTTCTATATTTTGAAATTTATATGCATTTAAATCATACCCACATTTTTAAAAAAAAAGGAAACATACTCACCCGAAACCTGAAGAAATTTTAGAAACACAACCCCAACTAGACTAAACAGACTCGAAAACATACAATTACAATTATATCAAACCCCACTACTTGATAATGACCAAGAGAAATTTTTCATGAAATAATCGATAAGCGCTAGAAAATGGACCAGGGTCGGTCCAAAAATGGGAAAAGGAGAGAATGCTCGAAGAGCACAGAAAAATGAGATGAGAAGAAAACTTAATTTAGGTTCGCCTACTCACCAGAGTGCTTATCGATTGAGAAAATAAATGTGAATGGTCATTATTTAAGTAGATTGGGAAACGATGAAAAATTAAATTTTGAAAAATAAAATAAAGTCTGTTGAGTCTAGATTAAGACCAGGGACGGTCTTGATGGGGAAGGGACGTGTAAGGGACAAAGGTATTTTCGGAGTTTGTTTCCTAATGTTTATATCCATTTTGTCGTTTATAATTCCATCCCACTTTTCTCACGTTTAAAAGGATTTGTAATCACCTTATTATTGTCTTATTGTTCTTTCACTTTAATAAAAGAATTAAATAAATGTTTTAATATTTGGATTCAATAAATAAATATATTTTGTGTTCAATTGTGTATGCCTGGTGAAGGGGATCAACAGAGGGCCTGATCAACCCTTAAGTTTATCCTAGGAAGTCCCGGGCATATTCCCTCCCGTATTCCATTATCTGGGGTTTGGGCCCACCACATTGGTACTATCTGATTCCGGGGGTCCCTCCTCTATTAGAATTATGCATATAAAGCCGAAGCGGCATCGTATTAAACTACATAAAATAGGAACACATCGAGGTCTCCCATTGATAAGTCTGCACAAAAAACCTAATGGGCATCGGATTAACTTGCACAAGATTGGCACACATTTTGGCAATCCATTAACTAGTTTACAAATGAAACCAATACGGCAACGTATTAAACTGCATCCTCTTGGAACGCATTCTGGTTTTCCATTCAATATTTTGCATACGAAGCCAATTCTACAGATTAAATTGCATACTACTGGTATTGTTTTATTTGAATTGCCAATAGTTTCAATAGAAAGCTCTGATGATTCAGATGGAAGTTCCAGTGAATTTGACGAAACTCCAGAAGCATCTTCTGATGAAATACCGTTTGATCCAGCTGAAAGCTCTAATGACTCTGAAAGTCTAGACTCTGATGGAATTTCCGATAAATCTGACGAAGATCCCGAACCCTCTGATGAAAGAACCGTTGATCCAGCTGAAAGCTCTAATGACTCTGAAAGTCCAGACTCCTTTGATGCAAGTTCCATTGAATCTGACGATGCTCCCGAAGCCTCTGATGAAAGACCTGTTGATTCATCTGAAAGCTCTAATGACTCTGAAAGTCCAGACTCCTTTGATGCAAGTTCCATTGAATCTGACGATGCTCCCGAAGCCTCTGATGAAAGAACCGTTGATCCAGCTGGAAGCTCTAATGACTCTGAAAGTTCAGACTCCTCCGAAGGAAGTTCCAGTGAAGCTGACGAAGCTCCCGAAGCCTCTGATGAAAGACCCGATGATCCAGCCGAAAGTTCTAATTCCGACGAAAGTCCCAGCTCATCCGAAAGTCCCTGGGACTCTTCTGATAGTTCCATGGAGGCTGATGATCCAAAATTTTCATTTGATTCCTCGTTTGATTCGTTTGACTTTCTCTTCAACTTAATTAAAAGTGCTTCTGTCTCATTTGATTTTCCGTTCAGCTCAATTGAATGCCCTTCGGACTCCGTTGAATTTTCATTCGATTCTTTTTCGTTAGAATTTTTTGAGAATGCTTCTGAAGTAGGTTTAGGCTGATTATTTGGCTTATGAAGTAAATCATCTAATTAATATTAAAATTTGTTTGATTGGATGAAAATACATAAATTGGAATTACTTTGAGCACAGGATCCTTTGTAACAAAAAATCATAAAAAGAACTATAGCAATCAGATTAATTTGAGAATGCTTCTGAAAGAAATTTTAAAAATTCAAATTAGATGATAATTTTTATCTATTTCAAGGAAGTGTGGATTTTTTGGATTCTGGCAGCCCGACCCCGGTCAAAGCAAGTTTAAGCTGAGGTCATAATTAATTATGTGAGGCCCTTTGCTTGCTAGTTTGGTATCTCAGACGAGATGTCAACTGTGTTATAACTCCCAAGGAGTCGCAGGTTTGGTGTTGTCCCTGGCCAAAACTTGCTAATCTCGAATTTATATAATATAGTCAAGCTAATATTAATTCGGATGGAATTTTTGTAATATTTACCATTGCTTCTTAAGGAGAACAGCAGTACTTAATAATTAAAAATACTGTTTGTAGTAATGTAAAATTTTGAATAAATATTGTTTTGATTTTAGCATCAAATTGATCTTTTTATATATACAAATTTAATGCACCAAAATTTTTCGATTTTTTTAAAAATAACAAACATATGTATATAAATTATTCTAATTTTAGGTCCATGTTTTTTAGCGATAATCAAAAATATAAATAAATATTTTTGTTTATATTAACTTTTTTTATAAATTTATTGTTTAAACATTCAAAACAATTGAAAATAATCTTTTGAGTTTGAAGAAAATTAAAGTTCAAAAGTGTGATTTAAGATCATATGTATGTTGTTTTCAAACGAATATTACAAATCTCACAAAGGCTATAAGGAAGGAAAATATGCAAATATCTACAAGTAATCCACAAATATGAATTTTATGGTGTCTTAGGATAATCGCTTATATCTTGCATTAGAATTGAAAAATTTATGTCTTTTGAATTCATCCTATTCGGGAAAGAACCATTCTTATTTCAAAGCTTTTTCACTTACTTTAAGAACCATCAAGAAAAAGTTCAGGAAATGATTAAATTGAACTTTCTACCCCAACGTACAGCCATTTTCAGATTAAAAATTAAAAAAATGATTAAATTAAAAATTAAACCCAGATTAAACTATAACATTTCATTGAGGGTGGAACTTCATATGTATCATTGAAGGAGGCCAAGAACGTATGTTTCTTTGAATCTTTAATTTAAAAAATAAATGTTTTATACCAAAAGCCTAAAGTTTTTCTTATAAAAATCTTCAACTCTTGTTTTCATTCATTTATAATTAAGCGGTTCAACTAAAATTCAACTAGCAGTAAATTAAGTATCGTAATATTTGGATGTCGTATACCAATAAAAGGTCATACTTACATGATATCTAAAAATGGTGAATTTAAACAAACTATAAAGAATAACTTAGTAAAATCATGTAAGAGATCCACCTAGAAGATTTATAAAAGTATAAAAGCGTCCTCGCGCAGTAGCTGTAGTAGATCACCTGTATTTGAGTGAGCAAGTCCGAGCGATCACTGATAGCTCTGTCGCAAGTTCGAATCCTTCCCGGTGGCTATGCATTTGCTAAACTCTTTGTATTGAAAAAATTTAATAATATTAAATAAAAATACCAAATATGGTAATTTTTCAAAATATGCCGCAAAATAACCTAGATTTCTAAAAGATTTGCTAAATATCCCAAAATATGTCTGTTTTTCTGATATCTTTATTTAATTTATCTATCCCCATTCATGGCCTTTCAGTCATCAGGATTTTCAAGTTATATTCTTATTTTTTATTCAAGTCATACGCTATATTGTCATTTTACACCAGGAAAGCTTTTTATTAATGTTATGTGTATTAGTTATTGAACGTGTACCTGATCTAACTCCCTAGGAAATAATGATCCTAACTTAAAGATAAGGCTTATATATTTAAACATGAATAATTAACAGTTTTTATTCGTACAATATAATTTATAAATTTGTAATTTCTGATTATATTAATTATATATTTAAAATAAAATATCACAAAATTAATATCTTGAAATTAATTATTCTTTATAATTCTTATAATATGCTTTCTTATCATTTTCTGTTTTTATGTACATATCTGAAAGTTTAAAATTAATTTTGAGGTAATAACTTTAAAATTACCTCAGGGACCTGCAGCTCCTCCTACTGCAACGCATTGTGGTTTTCCATACTTATCAATCTTGCAGACGCACCCATTTTCGCATTGTATATTATCACATGGGTTAGCGGTTGTTGGTGGTGTAGTAGTTGTGGTTGGAGAAACACATTCTGGTTGCCCACCGATAATTTGACAAACACTACCATAATAACATTTTTTATTACATGGTCTAGTTGTAGTTGTTGATGGAGTAGTGGTAGTTGTGGTTGATGGAGTAGTAGTTGTGGTGGTTGATGGAGTAGTTGTAGTGGTTGATAGTGTAGTTGTAGGTTTTGGAGTAGAGGTAGAATGTGGTGGTGTAGCAGTAGTGTGTTTTCGAGTAGTGAACAATTTAGTTGTTGAATCTACAATGTCAAAAATTAATCTAAAATTTACGCTGGAACCTACGTCTTGGTTTCTTGGTTACTTCTTCGCTTTTGCAGTTAGGAATACATATAGGCCTTCCATTGAGAAGTATGCATTTAAAGCCAACTCGGCAACGAATTAAATTACAGAGGAATGGTACACATAATGGCTTTCCATTGATAATTCTGCATACAAATCCAAATGGGCAACGTATTATACCGCAAACATTTTGAACACATTTTGCCAATCCCTTAATTATTCTGCATACAAAGCCATGGCGGCAACGTATAAAGACGCATCCTCGTGGAACACATGCTGGTTTTCCCCTCAGTATTTTGCATACGAAGCCAATTTTACAGGGTAGACTGCATACTACTGGTATTGTCTCATTTGATTCTGATGATTCAGATGAAAGTTCCAATGATGCTGAAAGTCCAGACGACTCTGATGAAAGTTCTAATGATGCTGACACAATTCCGGAAGCCTCTACTGAAAGGCTTGAGGACTCAGATGAAAGAAGTCCTGATTCCTCACTTTTTGATTCGCTTGAAACTACAGGCTTTCTTGTATGTTCTTTAGATTCACTTGAAGCTCCTGGATGTTCATTGGATTCTTTGGATTCACTCGAGGCTCCAGGCTTCTTAGTATTCTCTTTGGAGTTGGACTCACTTGATGCTCCTGGCTTCTTGGTATTTTCTTTGGAGTTGGATTCACTCGAGGCTCCTGGCTCTTTGGAGTTGGATTCACTTGATCCTCCAGGCTTTTTTGTGTTTTCTTTGGAGTTGGATTCACTTGATGCTCCAGGTTTCTTGGTATTCTCTTTGGAGTTGGATTCACTTGATGCTCCAGGCTTTTTCGTGTTTTCTTTGGAGTTGGATTCACTCGAGGCTCCAGGCTTTTTGGTATTCTCTTTAGAGTTGGATTCACTGGATGCTCCAGGCTTTTTAGTATTTTCTTTAGAGTTGGATTCACTTGATGCTCCAGGTTTTTTCGTGTTTTCTTTGGAGTCGGATTCACTCGAAGCTCCAGGCTTTTTAGTATTCTCTTTAGAGTTGGATTCACTCGAAGCTCCAGGCTTCTTGGTATTCTCTTTGGAGTTGGATTTACTTGAGGTTCCAGGTTTCTTGGTATTTTCATTGGATTCACTTGAAGCTTGCGATGTCGTTGCTGGAGAAGGCTGTTTCGTTGTTGGTATGGGGCAGTTTTCTTGTGGGATACAACACCCAGTTGCATCACGAGCATATCCTGATTCGCATTGGCATTCACAATCGCCGATTGGTTTACAGTTAACATGCCCAAGGCTTTCACAATTTGCCTCACAATTAAAAAGACATTTGTATTCTTCTCCAGCATTACATTGATCTTAATTTTTATTTATTAATTTCATCTTAAAGGTTAGCTAATAAATTATACCTCCGGCGAATACTCCATTGAAAGTCAGGGTCAGAAAAATGGCGATAGCCCCCGCAAGTTGGAGAAAATTATTCTTAAAGTATAAGATTAAGGTTATATCTTTTATAGAAATTATCAAGAAAATTTAAAAAATATTTCTTAAAGCTTAAATTTCTGTACTTATTTAATGTTTTTCAAACTAAAAAGTTTCGAATAAAAATTTCAATCCAATCGGGCCTGAATAATAGAATTTTCGATTAGGAATTAAAACTAAGGACCGATGGTTTTTCATCGGTTTTTTGATACGGTCTCGGATCTCAGAGGTTCCGATGAGCCACTAACCCTACTCACTTAATCAAAAAATTTTTTGTGAATCTATAATGATTAAGGTTGTCAGGTTCATCTAATTCCTCGGTTAACCGACACCGAACCGAAAAACCTAACCAATTTCGGTTAACCGAATCGACAAACCGAACCAAAAATCTTCGGATTTTCGGTTCAGTTCGGTTTGAAACCAACTACCTTAATAATGATTAATCAAAGCCTAAATTTTATGTATAATTTACTAATAATGATAATTAAATTTTAAAATAAATTTATTTACCATGATTTCAAGTTAACCAAACAATTGTATTTGAAGGACTTTAAATTATTTTTTAAATCTAAAAGATTCTGAGAAACAATTGAAACAGCCTAGTTTATATATCCTTAAACTTGGTGTACTAAACATGTTTTTGAATTAATTTTCCAACAAATAATAAAAAGATTTAATTGTTTTCCAGCGTTATAAGTGCAAATTAAAATAAAAAATATTATTGTTTATATTCGGTGCTTTGTTTGAATTTATGCAAATTTTATAGAGTTCACGTTTTAAACCAGCTGAAATTTTTAGTTTTTGAATTTTAATCAAAATGTAGAACAAACAAAAATATTTACAAAAAATAATTTTTAAATATTGTAAACACAAAAAATATTTTTTGGGAAGTAAATCATTTTTCACTTCACAATAAAATATAATCAAGCTTCTTCCTTCATTTTTCTCATAAAGTCCAGGACTGATGTCATGGGTTGCCCGGATCCCTAGACCATTTACTTGGACTTTCTACGGCCAGAGATCCGATCCGAAGAATGTTTTGAAACCCAACCCGACCCGACATTTTTCTCAAAACTTAACATCCCTGATATACACTCCGTTTCAATAACCCGGTTTAAATTTTTTTTTAATTTTTTCCAAGTTCAGTTAATGAACCATTTCTAAATTGGTATGTCAATATATTAAACCAATCAACGGATATCCCTTAAATTGCATCAATTCAGACTGTCAGAAAAAGATAGACGCACCCATATTTTTGCTATTATCTCGCTTTATATAATGATATTTTTGTATAAATTTTTCCTATTATATCTTTTTAAATGCTTAAATGAATATAACGAAGAAAAATTTCCTAACTATTTATAAAAAATTTTTATGTTCAATTTTCTGATAAATGCGTGTCAGGAAATGATAGACGCACTTTGAAATTTCGTGTTTCTAACATTAAGAAAAATCTACAAAAATTTGAGCTAACATATTTATCGATTCTAAGAAAAATTAAAAAAGAATTAGAGCATATCTCACTTCAGTGTCGAGATCCAGATACGTCGAAAATCAACGTAAATTTGGGGTAAGGCTATTTAAGAAATATTTTCAGCCCCTTATGGATGGTTATAAATTTTCATTTTGGGCTCTCAAAATTTGCTGTAAGATAAATTGGATCTTGTATTTGAGAAGAAATTAGAAAGACAGAAGCAGGTCGTTAATTTCCCGACGCTAATTTTATGGGCATTTAGGTGATGTTCTCTGCCTTATAAACAACTGAAATAATTTTTTGATTTTGAGTAAAATTAATGAATAATATAAACAGGAAGTGCGATTTTAGATCATAAGAATCGGCCAAATAATATGTAGATATCACAAAGCTATAAGGACCCTTTTAAAATATTTAAAATAAAATGAATAGACAATATATTAAAAGCCAAATATGCGCATAAATAACCATAATTTTTAAATATCCTTTCAGCCGGAACTAAGAAAAGTTCCGGTTCCGATATCCAGAACTAAAGTGGATCAGGTTCCGATAGATCTGGTTCTTGTGCGAAATTTGTATTATTTTTTTAAAACATATTCTTGAGAAGATTTGAATTATTATTTTTGCGATAATTATTATTTTTATGAAGTAATATAGTGATTCGATTTCTGAGGATTTTCCCTTATTTTGTGGTTTTTTGATAGGTCGATGAAGATTATTTTTTTAAATGATGTTTAAAATATTATGTATTTGGCATTATATACAGAAAATCTTGATAAACAATCGCTCGCCTAGTTTTCATCGAGTTTTTTTCTCGAAAATTATCTTTGATAAAAATCCCAGCTTATACATAGATATGAGAAACCTACTTAGGTAAATTTAAGTAAATAGCTAATTTAATTAACAAGTTTATTCAAATATTACACATAAATATTTTTATAGTTATACATTTGGATTTAATTAACTGTATAGAATATCACAGGATTAATTTTCATAAAATTAATTATTCTTTATATTACTTATAATATTCTTTCTTATCATTTTTATTCTTTCTTATCATTTGTCTTTTGTTACTTTGTACATATCTAAAATTTTAAAATTAATTTTTGGGGTAATAATTTTTATAATTTACTTTAAATCTTTATTGGACTTTAGTAAACTTGTACGCAGTCTCCATAAATATTCCTCCTGCATTGACAATTAGGTGGGCATGGAGTACATGAAGCAAGAGTTGTTGATGGAGTAGTGGGTTGGGTAACAACAACACATTTTTGGACAATTTCGCATACACTACCATAAGGACAGATTTTATTACATGGACAAGTTGTGGTGGTTGATGGGGTAGTAGTTGTTGACGGGGTCGTTGTTGTGGTAGATGGGGTAGTAGTCGTTGACGGGGTCGTTGTTGTGGTAGATGGGGTAGTAGTTGTTGAAGGGATAATTGTGGTGGTTGATGGAGTTGTAGTAGTTGTGGTCGATGGGGTAGTTGTAGTGGTAGATGGGGTAGTAGTCGTTGACGGGGTCGTTGTTGTGGTAGATGGGGTAGTAGTTGTTGATGGGGTAGTTGTGGTGGTTGATGGAGTTGTAGTAGATGGGGTAGTTGTAGTGGTTGATGGGGTAGTAGTTGTTGATGGGGTAGTTGTTGTGGTAGATGGGGTAGTAGTTGTTGATGGGGTAGTTTTTGCGGTAGATGGGGTAGTAGTTGTGGTCGATGGGGTAGTTGTAGTGGTTTCTTTCGTGTTTTCTTTGGAGTTTGATTCACTTGAACCTCCTGGCTTTTTCGTATTCTCATTGGATTTGGATTCACTCGAGGCACCAGGCTTCTTGGTATTCTCCTTGGAGTTGGATTCACTTGATCCTCCAGGCTTTTTAGTATCTTCTTTGGAGTTTGATTCACTTGAACCTCCAGGCTTTTTCGTATTCTCATTGGATTTGGATTCACTCGAGGCTCCAGGCTTTTTGGTATTCTCTTTGGAGTTGGATTCACTTGAACCTCCAGGCTTTTTCGTATTCTCATTGGATTTGGATTCACTCGAGGCTCCAGGCTTCTTGGTATTCTCTTTGGAGTTGGATTCACTTGATGTTCCAGGC